GAAGGGACGCGCATACATTTGTTATTAAAAACGACGAACAGATGCGACAACTCCTGAGACATTTGTGTGCGATAATTAATTGCCAAAGCTGCTGTTATGTGCAGATATTAATTTGTATTTAAATAATGATTTTGGAACGAGGGGAAACTCGCGTCGAACGCTTTCCGAGTTGTATTTCTAACGTAATTTACGCGTACATAAAAATAGAAATAATTAGATTTATCCGTGTGTATAGCAGAAAAAAGGGAATTGTTTACAATTCAAAATGGCCGAAAGCCAAGAAATCTGTTCCATTGTTTACCATAGACAAAAAACCGTATCATAAATATATTTTTGTAACAAAACTATGAGGTTCAATACAGACGCGAGTATCAGTTGAGTAAGAATTTAAAGTTATCATTTTTAAAATCGAATGTGTAGGTTTTGAAATTCGCATAATATGAATTAATTTTTAAACCGTTTGACAGCTAATGAAAAATTTCAATATATCAAGTACAAAATGTATACACTTATAAAAAAGACGGTATTTGTTTTTGCGACTATTTAATTATTTTATTACGAAACTCCAATATTATAAAGACATTTCTTTATTAATAATATTAAATGCTTAAAACTAAATATTTCTCATAAAAATTAAAAACAATGTTTACAAATTTTTTTATTACCTTGCGTGATGGTTAGATCCATAATTGTGATTTAAATGTTTTGAGAACTTTCATATGATACATTTTTTTAATAATAACGTTAAAAATCATGTTATCAAAGATTCACGCTGTTTAATTATTTTATATTTAAATTGTAAAGATGCATGCATCCTTCTAAAAAAAATTCTTTGTTTGATTCTATTTTTCGTAGTTTGGTATTAAACGTATTATTGATTTGAGTTTTTTAGATGAAGGTATTTCAAAATATGATGAATGCCGTCATTAATAATTTTAAGTTTTATTTTCAATATTAATTGAAATATACAGGTTAAGAAAGAAAAAAAAATCAATTTTTTTTAGAAAAATATGAAATATGCATATTGCATAATATGCGTTAATTAATGGAATATGCACTTTTTTTAAAGCTAAAATTGACAAAATATGTATTTTAAATTTTAAATTTCTTAACTGTCCATTGTACAGTTCAGATTTCTAGCTTGGTCTGTTATAAATTGAGAGCATACAGAAAAAATGCAATTCCTACAACTCCTGAGCCCTATTCATTACGATTTCATATTGTCCAATAAGTTATTAATAATAACTTATTAGTTATTATACTCATGGTTAATTTTTGCTATGTTTTTTTAACTGTTTATCATTTTATAAAATATGGACAAAAAAATAAAAAAATGATATAAGATAAAAATTGCAATTTTTTTAAACTATATTTATTTAGTACATTTAATGATATAGATATTTACTAGTTTATGAAATAAATAATTTCACTTAGCTAGATAATGAAATAGATTTGTAGTTTATGATCTTTATTATAGTTATACATTTAAACATTGAACAAATTATTATTAAATTGTTGCTTTTAATTTAAATAATACTTATTTTATTTTTATGAATGTTTACAATTTACAATATTTTTCATGTAATAATAAATATAAATATTAAACCAAGATCATTGATGTCTTATTCTTATTGTATCCGTTCACTGTAATTCTGTTTTATTGTTAATAGTACACGTATTATAATTTCTCATTAGTTTATCATTTTTGTATACTTAATTATTTTTAAAATTAGAACAATGACTATTTATTATAATATTTTCCTTGGTTTAAATGTAGACAATACTTCTATAGTTTTGACGGAGAGGTGAGCAGGGATGGGGGACTTCTTTTTAATTAAGAATTTTTTTAATTCTATAACTTTATTATTGTTATAATCAAATTTTAAATTAAAATACGAATACCTTTTAGTTTTACATTAAGATACGAAGACCGTATGTTTAGCACTTGTTTCGCTTATAAGTCGCAGGACAGTGTCAATGTGTTATGGACGTTATGGTATTACACATTATTGATAGCAGAAATAATTCATCGAATTCAAAAAACGATTCCGAACGTAGAACTTATTAATGTTTTAAAAAAAAGTTATCATTGGTATTTTTACGGTATTTTTTTTTTTGCGCCCAGAGAAATATATTTTTTAGAAACTATGAGCTTGATTTAACTACCCCTTTAAAGTATCATACACACCTACTCGATTTATGATCTATTAATGTAATTTGTGAAAGTACTTTAGCATCCATTTTATCTGCGAGAGTGTTTTAAAAATATATTATACTTAAACGATCTTGAAGAAGAAATTGTGTTTACAGGCTTGTTTTTTATTTAAAAGAATCTGTTTTTTGAATATGATCATTTATCATTGTTTTAAAATCAACAATTATAACATTCTGTGAAACTTGTTCGTCTAAGACTGGTTGTGTCTCTGCAATTTCACACCAAGTCGAAAAGAAGAAACTTGAAGAGTAAAAAATTATTTTCTATAATAATGACATTTATTACTTTAAATTAGTTTTTATATAGATCTATGTCAATGTATTGTTCAAATGATTTGAAAGAAACTATTGTAACTTTTATTATATTTCCATTTTCCTTACTGCAAGTGATATAATTATATTTAGTACTATTATATTAGTCGACGGTCTGTAAATCGCATCTAAAACGTTTAACCATATTCTTCACATCATATTTTAATTTTGAATCTATAGAATATAATGTTATAGATAATAAATAATATATTATGTTATTTTATTTTATTGTAATATTATAGGTTTTTTTTTATATTATTGGCGTATTCGAGTAGATATAGGTTTAGGTTTTCACCGTCTGTTTACAGCATATTATACCAATTTTATTTCAAATTTATATGGCGAATGGTCTCGTTTATACACAAGTGAAATATTTTATCCGTTTGCTATATAGGCATCATATTATATGCACTTGGTACCTATATTCTCGTTTATATTGTTGTGCATGACAGGTGAATAAATACCTGTAATTAGCTTCAACCACATCATTTCCAACTTATACATGAATACATGTTCTATATTATATACAATGCACAATTAGCACCTGTTTGCATTCATATCATGGTGTTACAATGTTACATATTATTATATTATGTTATTCGTCGACACGTGTTACTGGAAAAATAACAACGTCCCCTTGATTATTTAAATGTTCATACAACTATACTCGCTGGCTTACGCTTTCGTTCAATTACGTTATGTATACAACGTTTTGCGCCCAACCTTACTACAATTTCGTATAGATTACGAAAAATTTGACTAACGCAAAATGTATTCGTCTAAATTAGTCGAGTTTGTGTTAGGTACCGATTTTACTATGTCATATTTACTCAATAAATTTTAAGTATATATACGTGTTTGAATATATCAATGACTTAGTGAAAACACATACCTAAATATTATTATAGGTTGATTTTAACTTGAAATATTTGTCTTAAAATATAAAATATGTGTTAAATTATCTCTGATTTAATTGCATATACGTGTGTTTATCTGTCATGTATACTGGTAGTTGTTGTAAATATTTTTTAATTGATATAATAAAAAATTTCTAAAAACTATGAAACCTACTTGTTAATTCTAAAAATTACTTAATATTTTGTGTGCTCGGTAGGCCGTGCATATGACGATTACAAAAAAATCAGCAATGATATAACAAACTAAATCGGGTATTTATTATATGTATAATAGGTATATATAGTTTAAAAAGATGTATGCAAAAAATGTCAAATAACTTTATTCGTTTACGATGACTAATCTCGTGTACAATAGTGTTGGGAATAGGTATTAAGAATTGTCTAGGAACAAACGGATATTTAGAAATTCTTGACCACATATTGAATTTATTATTTAGAAAAGTCGAAAGTGTTCGCTGACGCATCGAACCGTGTGTCGGTCGGACACGGTCGGAAGTTTCCAGATGAGATTCGTCAGAGGCTTTTTAACACGCAATGTTATCTTATAATATATATAGTTTTGTATATAATATAGTATAATTTATTGTGAACATACCTTAATTGTATGATATATTATATAATAACTGTTACAGCTATTTCATCTAGTCTAAAATTATCAATGGCGATTTAATTATTTTTATACCATAGTTTATAATACAGTGTTAATCAAAAGAACATTATTTCATAGTTTTAAATTTTAATATTTGAAATATATTGTTTATTGGTTTTTTTTTTCCATCAAATAATTATACTACGCCTATTACGTACAAGTACCTATAATAATAATATATATATACTGAAAAAATATAGACTATGTTTATATAAGTATTTTTAGTAAAACTATTTAATATACACTTAGCGCATGTATTTACATACATTTGTAATATTTAAGTATACTTACTTATTATAAGGCCAATAATACACCGATATGTAACATAAATCCTGTATGCGTATGTTAAAACACGTTATAGTTGTATCGCGTTAATTGAATTATCGTCGTATAGGTATTACAAACGAATGTGTAAAAATAAATAATTGGGAAAACGCATATCATTGTATGCACGTTTGTTTTGGAAGAGCAATTTCATTTAAATATAATCACCTTACAACCGTTTTACTAACTATAATGCACTCGCATTAGTGATCGGTTAAATAAAATCGATATTACAATATGTCAACAAAGATTACGTAAAATATATTTGATTTTTCCGACTCCCAAGCCTCAAACACGCGCCGTTCTCGTCTTTCGCGCTAATTCGACGTCGCACTCGGTTTGAATATCGCGGAACGACGACGCCGAAAAATGAGTCGCGAACACCGCGGTGAAAACCTAAAAACAAAACACGCACTATTAAAAGAAACCTAATACATTTTTACCAGACATGATGATAGCCACGTACATGATATTATTATTATATATTTTATTAAGATTTCCGCGACGACCGGACGCATCCGCACCAACGCCACCAAACTGAACACGCGTGTCTGATCGCCAAATTGGTGTTCGTGTGATTTCAGAAGAAACCCATCGTCGTCGTCAGCGGTGTACGATCGCGATGTGGTCGTCGTCCCGGATCGGCCGTCAAGTGGCTTCCGCGTTCGTATGCGGCCGTCACGCGCACCCGCTTCACCGGCAGAACCTCCGGCCCCGGCACCCGGAACACCAGCTCCAACACCAACAACAACACCAACACCAACACCTACACCTACAGCATCACCGACGGTGGTATTCATCGGCGGCGGACGAACCGGTGGCCGCGCCGCTGCGGAGCACCAAGAAGAAATCCGACCGGGCGCCGCCCAAGCACCTGGTGGACGTGAAGACGGTCCGCGCGATCGGCGGCCGAGGCGGCGACGGGCGCGTGTCGTTCATGAAGCTGTTCGGCAACGAGAACGCTGGCCCGGACGGCGGCGACGGCGGCAACGGTGGCCACGTAGTGTTCCGGGCGTCCGAGAGCGTGTCCGGGCTGGGGCACGTGGCCGTCGAGCTTAGGGCGTCAGCCGGCGAGCGGGGCTACAACAAAGACTGTCACGGCAAGTGCGCCCAACACGAGTACGTGGACGTGCCCGTGGGCACGGTGATCAAGGACTGCGACGGTCGCGTGGTAGGCGACCTGTGCCGGCCGGGCGTCATGTTCGTGGCGGCCAGGGGCGGGGCGGGCGGCCACGGTAACCGGTACTTCGCCACCGACACGGAACAGGCGCCCGAGGTGGCCGAGCTGGGCGGCGCGGGCGAGGCGCTCCGGTACACGTTGGAGCTGAGCAGCATCGCCGATTTCGGGCTGTTGGGGTTCCCCAACGCGGGCAAGAGCACGCTGCTCCGGGCCATCACGCGGGCCCGGCCCAAGGTGGCCCCGTACCCGTTCACCACGCTCCAGCCGCACGTCGGCGTGATCCAGTACGACGACCAGGAGTCGGTGGCCGTGGCCGACCTACCGGGGCTCATCGAGGACTCGCACCGCGACCGCGGCCTGGGCATATCGTTCCTAAGGCACGTGCAGCGGTGCACAGCGCTGCTGCTGGTCGTCGACCTGTCCGCGCCCGAGCCGTGGACGTACGTGGACGTGCTCCGGCACGAGGTCCGATGCTTCTCGGCCCCGGTGCTCGACCGGCCGCAGCTGATCGTCGCCAACAAGGTGGACGTGGACGGTGCCCGCGACAACCTGGCCGAGCTCAGGCGCCGTCTGCCCGACGACGAGATCGTCGACATATCCGCCAAGCACGGCATCAACTTGGAACGCCTGTTGAAGCATATGAAGCGTGTGTACGACAGACGGCGTAAATCTGCAGAAGAGGACGCCGCCGCCGCCGCTGGCTTTGACTAGGCTCTAGTGGTAGAACGGCATCGTCGCGTAGTCGTAATGTCGTATGATTATTATTATACTTTGTGTAGGTCGTGATCGATAAAATGATTTTTGTGTTCTGTATTATGTTTTTATTATTCTAGAATGTGTATTGTGTATGTTTGATAATAAAACAATGACTTAATACTTTTATTCATACTCAGAAACGAGATTTTTTATTATTATTATTATTACAATTAATCAAGATTACTTGTCTATAGGCCTACTACTTCCCGCTTCTTGTGAAACCCAACTAGCCGTTTTGTAGTGGAAAGTTATTCTGGGGAGGGGGGGGGGGGTAGATTTTCAAGAACATCATCCTTAGACATTTATTCCAAACGATTCGTAGTTCATAAAATTACGATTTTTTATAATTTAATTTCTTAAATAATTTCATCCTGTTATTGCGCGGTGTACTATAGTTTTGTTGTTAATTTACGCGTGTTTTCCTTAGGAAAATTCAGTTAGACATCTAATGCCGAATAGTCCTATACTATATTGACATACTTGATTGTGTTTGTTGATAATACACATGCAATTTTTCGCCAATTTGTAATTAATTGGATTTGTGAACAGATTTTCGTTTGTGTACTATGTACCTATTGGTGTAGCTGCCCGAAGAGGACATATTATATTATTAAAATCGTTTCATGCAGTAAAAACAAACTCATGGACCAGGGCTAATGTGCCTCTACGATCCTAGTATAGTTTAGAAACCGAGTTTCTACTGTTAAAAAAAAGAGAACTTTGTCTTGTACTTAACGCTGTTTCTTTTTCCCAAAGTGTAATGTAGAAAAACATTTTATCATTTTTTTTTTTCGTGAAAACTTGGTTTCAAAACTGTTGCTGTATAGTCAATCGGTTCCCAGCTATCAAGCAAACCCGTTTTTCTATAATAATTTATAATTATGCAACAACCGTGTCAACGACACTGACATAAGGTACCCACTTGTAAATTACTCCGAGTAATCGTGTTTAAACTTTCTCGAAATTTAAGAATACAATTGTTCCCAAATCGTAATTAAATTTGCTCATATCAAACCCTCGAAAAATCGGACGATATTATGCGGTAACAGTCGCATAATATTTCAATTGTGCGGTATTTATTGGAAAAATGTGTCGGACTTATAAGATGTGTTTGTGGTATATACATGGCAAGTTGCGCAATGACGGAGACATAATATGTCATGTCTTCGGTCGGGTGCAAAGGTTGCGTGGCGTACGGATAGGTATAGATAGAGAGATACAAGTCGACGTCGGTTTCTCGGCCAAAGATTTCCGGAGCAAGCGGAAAAAAAAATAGTAAAATTAAAAAATTGAAAATAACAAAAAAATAACTCACACTTCTATCGCGAATAAATCACATCGAATCGCATAAATCACCCGAGGAAAAAGCCTGCACCACCGCTCACACACGAGTACCCCGCCGCGGCCTTTAAGTGGTACACTCGCGTGTACTACGCGTGTGTATTATAATGTATGTTAATGAAGATCGATACGCGCCACCACAGAGGAGAGAGTTATTGCGACTCGGGCTGCTGGTACGTTACAGGCGAATATAAATCTTCGGCATTTGATTGTTTAATCGACGAGTCGTGTGCGCGTGACCGACCGGCGACCGAATCCGACGAAGGAGAATGATCGTCGTCGTGCAATCCACTGTTCCTTGGACAGGAAACGGCGGAAGAGTCGTTTTGTTGTACGTAATATTACAGATACATCGAAAAAGCTGAACCGTGCGTCGAATGTAGACGGTATTAAATCTGCTATTGTTGTTGCCGACGTCACTGTTGTTACTGAACATTTTAGCGTCTACGAAACGCGTAATTGAATAATAGATAGGTATTACGCGCGGACTATACAATACAGTCCGCCCGGCGTGCAGACTATTACACCGAGTCTGCTGCGAAACGACGTTTTCTGTTCGATAGCGAAGATCAGTATTTTTCACTCTTACCACGTGGCCCCCTCAACCCCTTAATTTTATTGTAAAATTGATACGACCCCTATTCAGGTGTAAAATTTGTTTTTTCTACACCATAAAAATCGTTTAAGTAATAGGGATATTTTTCTAAACTGTTATAAATGTGTACTAAAATTAAATCGTATAATATATATATACATAAACGAGTATACGTTTTGTAATACATATGAACAAAATGTTACGATCGTTTTAAACTTTGAATATTATTGCATAAACGTAGTCGCAGTAATCATTATTATTAGTAATTAGACGAAATGATGGTAAACATTTTATAAATTAATGTACTGATATATTGTATTATATCGTTCGATACGCGTCACTTGCATAACTGTAAGTTATAAATTATAATATGATATGTATCGGTTATGTGATGTGTGCTGTATATGGGTTTTTTAATTTTTTTTTTTGTGTTCCCGATTTAAAGCGAATTATCAGTCGACTGCGCGACAATTATAGCTTTTTTTAATTTTAAATGTCATTTGGTGATCGGTCGTTGTTCGTGTTTCATGGCCAATTATACGCGCTTTAATGTTTTTCAATGTAGAATGACTATATATTCACTGAGGATCTAATAAGCAATGTTATCGATAATTATGATATACAATTAATATATCATTTAATATTATATGATATTGTAATAGTTAAAAGATAATTAATTTTAGTCTAAACATATGATAGAAAAAAAGTAAAAATATTAACTCATACATAATCTATAATATTACTTATATAATAAGCTGCCGTACTTAACTTTCCAACTTCATAGTTTGTTTATAAGGTTTTGCTTAATAATATTAGAATATAATTTTGGTGTATTATATGCAGTTGCGTATCCGGAGGGAGGGGAGTGTTAGAGAACTGTAACCACAATACTCCCTCTCCCATATTTAAATTTGTTAAATATTTAAATACCATTATTAATATCAAATATGTTCAAACAAAACACAATAATTCAAAAAACTTATGAATAATAACTGAACTAGTGTGTACGTTGCCTATATTGTACGGAATAAAATCATTTTCATAAATTTATAGTTTTAATAAAGATAAATATTTAAATATTTACTTAGTTGAACTATTACTATAATCGTAAGAAAATTGTAAAAATTGTAGTAAAATGTTTATTTTTAATAAAAACCACACAAAATTCAAAACAATTTAATTTGTTTTTTAATACTCCCACCGACAAAAAAAAATTCTGGATATGCTACTGAATATTTGAAATCGATGACTCAAGTCTTTCCTTAAAATCTCTTTTATACCAGCCCTTAAATGTGCTAATATTGACTATATACCATGTACATATATTGCTGTACTTGTACGTTTCGTCATATTGTTTGTATACTGTTCATAGAAAATTAATGTTTTCATCAGTCAACAGAGATAATTGATTGATTGGAACACACACAGTAATAATTGTTAAGTTAAATAATAATGGTTATATTATTTCTATATAACCAATAAATATCATATTATACCTAGCAATAAATAACGTTCGTGCGAGAAAAATGTGATTTTGCAATTATCAAACTATACAGAGGAATCTTTGATAGCAAATTTTTATTGTTATCCATAGATTTTTGTAAAGTATATATAATTTTCAGATATTAAATAAAAAGTCGTTTTTGGTTATAAATGAGCTAACATAAAACTTTTCTGGGAAAATCAGAGAAAATCGATTTTGAACATTAGTGGCCAATCTATGTTAAAATGGTGAATTAATTTGTATATTTAATATATACGGCAGCGTATGCGCATTACGTATATTTATATATCAGAGTTTAGGTGTATAAAAAAGTAATAATAAAATACGCGTAGTTATGTAACCCACGGGGGATAAAATTTTGCTTTTTTTTTATTATTTATAATGTTTATTAAATCATTTAGACGTTTTATTAATTTGCATTCAGAGAAGACGTCAGCATTATATATACATATTATTATATTCACTCGTAATTAAATTTATGCATTTTGTTCTACTCGTTGACCTAAACGGCCGACTTGGAGCGGGATCAAAGGAGGAAGCGAAAACTTTCGGTTTCGAATAAAATGTATACGTAATGCAATAATAATTGTTGAGTTTCGCTGGGCATACAGACGTCGTCTGTGTGTGTGTAACACCATAATATACATATATTATTATTATTATTATTCTATGACCGAAGCGCGGCTAAACGCGTAAAAGGAAAAACAACGACGACAATGACGACGCTCGGGTCGTTTTGAGCTCGCGTATTTTATGCATCGCGCGCACGGAAATAAAATACGCGTCTGCGTTGCGCGGGTAGCAGCTTGTCCGTAGCAATAAATATATATTTTACGTCACCCACCCCCAAAAAAGTAGGCAAAAAAAACCTTAAATATTTACTCTCTTGGCAAAACCCGTGCCCTATATATGGAGTGAGGTGTACCGCCGCCATCGCTGCCGCTGAGGGAATTGCAGAGTGCGTCCTCTTCACCGCTCCGAACCGGAAGTATTGAGATTTATGAAAACAACCCGAACGAAACGAAATGTGCAAGTACATATATGTAGTTTTACGACTTGTCCGTCTGTCGTTGGCTTATTTTGGATCTCTGTGCAGGTCGTAGACTGCTAATATTATGGTTTATTCGAGTACCTACCCTGTATGTGTTTTATAATTTAAGAGGAATAAAATTTTACTCATTTATTCCGACCTGCGTGCAAAGTGCAGCGCATAGCGGACACGCTCGTCCGGCGTTTTATGCCATAATTTATAGTTAAAAATGTATCTGCAAAACGATAATAATTAACTCCTAGTGTAATATTTAAATTTATAAAATTCCTATGCGACGATTCCAAGGTCTTAGTGAACATTCGATTTTGGAAATCAACCGTTCATAAAAAATATATGTTATTACTTATTATTATTATTATGTTTTTAACTTGTTTTCAAGCGCATTTTATTTGTGTGTGTATGTATTAAGTCTTGCTGTGTATAATCAAATATTAATATTTATTTATTTATTTTTCAGGTATGTATCTGCAGTAAATTGAAATAATTAGGAATTAAATTATACAAAAAGTCGATCGCATTGTGCTTATTATTGTTTAGTGTACATTTTAATTGGGTAAGTTTAAAAATATGTACATAATTATA